ATTCTTCATTTTTGTGAATGTTTGAAAGTTCTAAGAAAAACATGCAAAAATCTTTTAACTTCTAAAAAATGCAACTCATTTAATGTGTAATTCAGTTGTTTTAATCCAAAATACTCTCTAATAACATAAATAAAACATTCTAAAATATATATGTTGTAAATACAATGGAATTTTGGAGAATCTATAGGTAACAATGTTCAAAAACACTTGTCTTCCAACAGACAACATGCAGAGAGACCAGCCACCTTTTATTGGAATATTGAAGAAGAATTAAAGAAATACTTTAACTGAAAGCTACCAGAAAACACTTGGAAAGATCAAAATATATTTATGTCCTTGGCTAAAAACCAAAACAGTCCCTCACATGAGAGACAGAATGAAACACCTTGTAAAATGCTGAAGGAACAGATTCCTTCCTTGCTGAAATCACAGGTGTGGGAGTTAAATACCTTGTTCTCAGTCACCTATTCTGCCTCTATTACCAGCCTTGGATTTGAACAAAGCCAAATCACACACTCAGATATTAAACTAACTACTGACCCCTCCATTAAAATGAAAACAGCCTGATACAAGTGGCACACGCACATAATCCCAGCTATTCAAGAGACTGAGGAAGATTGAAAGTTTGAGGCCAGCCTCAACCTCAGTGAGACTCTATCTCAAATTTAAAAATAAAAAGGGACGGGATTAGAGGTCAATTGGGAGAGCACCCCCATTCAATCCCAAGTAGTACCACCAAAAAAAATTTTAATTTTTTTAATCTAAATTCTATTTATTCAACCCACAACCTGATCAACCACAATTAAGGGAATGCTCAAGAGTTCTAGAAAGAGAACATGGCTACTGAGAGTAGCAACTTAAGTTTTTCAGTTTCCTATCCCATCCCATACCTTCAATGACCCCAAGACATGAACACATTAACTACACCTAGTGATGAACAGGTTTCCTGCCTTCAAACACATCCTTGGTGCTTCCTGTGGATAAGGAAGCTCTTTATCAGCTCAGTGTTTGGAAGAGCAGAACTGTAAGTCAGCAACATCCTGAGGCTTCTAGTCTAGTTTTGCCCTAGGATTCACCTAGCTTTGCAAGGTGCTTTCTCAGTAGGAGAAAACCATAATCCAGCTTGTAGCAGCAAAGCAGAGAATACAAACTTGTCCCACTTCAAAGCACAAGGCCTATCTTTCACTAACTGCACGGCAATCCCAGCAGGGGYGACAATGAAAGCTTTCTTCCTTATTATTGTTTGAAACAATTACAGGCTATTGGTTCATATTAATTAGTTTATGTCTAGTATTAGGCAGCCTTAACTAGAAAAATGTTTTTGTTATCAAATGAATGGAGAAATAAACAAAATCAAAAGCTTTTTCTTTTTTTAATTGTTGCTTTTACCTTGGAAAAGTATTTTCAGGACTTTCACACTTGAATGTGAGTGTATCTTTACACTCTAAAAGAATTCACTCTAAAACAGCGTATAAGTGCACATGCCGGACAATAGCAGGCTAAGATGTCTAAATGAACTTCTCATTACTTGCTGTCTAAGGAGATTCTGCATTTAAATAATTTTAACTTTCTCTGAACACTGCTAATGGAAGAGAAGACATCAGGCTTAGAGGCAAGGGCAAGCTAGCCTTGGACTACGATTTGTACAAATTCCATTGGAAGACTAACATATAATTGGGCTCATAAATAATCAGAGGATCCTGGAACAAGTGACCCAATGGCCTTCATCTCTCCTAAGCCACCTCTCCCAGCTTATTGCTGACTCCTTTAAAATCGGAAGTTCCCAACATGTGGCAACAATAATGAGACAACAACCATGGTTGACATTGATAGAGAATTTGTTCAGCAAAAATGTCAAAAATCAGAGCTTGAATCCAGATCTAAGATTCCAAAGCCTGGGTAACCAGTAAACAACATAGGCTTCTTTCAGATCAATATTATATTCCTTAATATAATATGCAAGGCCCTGCAAAATCTCCAGCTTTACAACCTAACTCATGACATTTACCAGTTTCTGTAAACACTCCATCCTGGCTAATTTCAAGCTACCAGTATGAAGAAAAACTGGCTCACAAAATTCTTAAAAACGTAACAATTGGCCCTTGTGGAGTAGCAGAGGTGGTTCTAGGGACATCACTGTTTACAACCCCATGCCCTACTATACTGTGAGCACCCTGAACCAAATTCTAAGTACTGCACCCRGTCTCACCTTGGGACATTTGACATCTGCACCTGCTCTTTCTTTCTCTTACTAAATTAATACATTCTTTCATTATCTCCCTTCAAGAAGTCTTGCCTGATCCTTTGAGTCCTTATTTTCTGGGTATTCTGCTTTACTCCTGAAACATCTCTACTTCCTGTCTCATGGCACTTGTGACACAGGGTTGTAATATTTTGTTCCCTAATCTGTGCATCTTCTACTATGTTTCTAAACTCCAGCAGGACAAAAGCCTTATTTATCTTATCTACCCTTGTATCCCCAGCCTGCTGTAGAGCTTGCTAAACAGGAACAGTTGCTAATATCATGGGCAGAGGTGCCAGAAACTATTCTAAGTTTTATACATGTTTTCTGAGATCATCTTTAAAACAACTCTCTGAGGTTGGCTCCATTACTGCTCTGCCCATTTTGTATATGAGCATATGGAGGAACCTTCAAGGGGTGAGCATCTTTCCCCATGACTAGGTCAGTAAATGCTGGAGGCAGGATTTTAACCCAGACAGTGTGACTAGAGGGCCATGTGCATCCTTCAAGAAGCCAGCGTTTTTTGACCATTTTTCTTTTCATTAGTGATCCTCTAGGAAAAAAATTTAATTAAATTTAAATTATCTTTAATGGAAAATTAAATACTAAACAGCATTTTGCTAGGTAGCACTAAGCTTTGGAGGAATTTTTCATCTCTCAAGATCCAAATTTGGCCCTCTTGGGGACAATATCATTCTATTGGAAATGTATGTGCTGAACTTTTCACTTTGGATTTAAATTTATGTACCATATGTTTGTCCCTAAAAACACATGGTATCATTTTACAGTTTTAATGATATCTTCCTATAAGAATTATTTGCATCTTTCTCTGCCCCCCATAAGGTTCCATAGGGCAATATAGCTATGTTGATAGCCTCATTTTTTTAACTAGAACATAGTATTTCAATCATATTTACATACCTGAATTTATTAAGTCCTTCCACTATTGAATATTCAGAAAGTTTTATACTTCTTGGTTTTTAACCAATTCTTCGATGAATATCTTTATGCATTCTTGCTTGATCTCACATGTGAGAGTTTTTATAGGGATGTGCAAAAGTATATAATTTTTATATCTATTGTCAAATTACCACCCTCCACCCCCAAGTGGCTGCACCAACTAATCTTCCCACAGAAAATTTATGAATACACATTTCCCCATGTGTTTATATTAAATATGGCCTTTTTCTGCCTTGGGTGGTGTTAAACATTCTAATTAAATGAGTCATTTGAAAGTATTTATATTACTCATCAGCTGATAGTAGTTTGTGTAACAGGAAAAGTGTGTGTAGACAGGTCGATGCTGTTGGAAATGCTGACAAATGACAGGGACATTGGTATGCTAAAATACCTAGACCAGGAAACCTGCTCTAGGGCCTACTCACTTCACATAAGGCTAAGGACAGTCATTACCTGAGAACAGCTGCACTGGACTTTGAAATGGTGATCTTGGGTAACAGGCACTAAATCTCTCTAGCCATTCTCTAAGACTCTCAAGCACCAAAAAAACTACTGAGGGTAAAGAAAACCAAACATCCAGGTCAATGGATGTTGAAAGGGCAATGATCCATTTATTAGAAAGACAAAAAGCTCATGATGGGGGTAGCACTAAAATGCTAGAAAAGAATACTAAAGCTGTGAAGTATAGCAAGGACTTGAGCCACATGATAAAATCCCAGGTCTTTGCGGGGAAAACACTTAAAGTAAATGAAGTAAAAATGTCCCTTTTTCCTCTCTCCCTCTTTTCACTCTTCTTTAAAAAGAACAGGCACCCTTACTCAAAATACATATGAGTTTCAATAGTCTGCAAAACACAGGAATAAAAGTGTGTATCATCAAGATTCAAATTTCAATCCACATGGCTCTTCCTTTTTTTCTTTAACCTTGGCCTAAAAATGATTTTCATAAATGATTCAGAGTGATGCCACACTCTGAAGAGTGAAGCTAAAAAAAGAAATCATGGGAAACTATACTCACCGAGCCCCTTCCATGTACCTTCCATATATTCTATCATTTAATCAGGTGAGGAACCTGAAACTGAGAAGGGCGGCATAGCTAAGGCCCTTAACCCAAAAATCCAAGGCCCAGGGATGTGAACTGAGGCGTGCTGACTCCAAGTCTGTTTCCCTATTGTACCACGCTGCTGCTGAGCCTAAACGAGTTTACTAAATACTCAGAGCAGGTTATCCAATAATCCAAACAAAGACAACGTCCCTGCTGTACCACTGCACTACCCTTTGGTGTACAGGAAAATTACCTTGACTACCATCCAAAAGTTTCTAGAACTGCATTTTATTTCCAAGTTCCTACAACAGGTCAGAGCAAAATAATAATTCTAAGAGGAAGACAACAGGGCAGCATTGCAAAACTTGATCCATTCTGAGTTATTTCATTAGCACCCTTACCCACCCCCACCCCCCAAAAAAAAGAAAGATAAAAGAAAGGGATAGCAGCAAAATTTACTACTCACTTGTCTTGATCTGGAGTCTGATGCCTAGAGTAACAGACATCCTAAAGCACTGAAAACCAAGGCCCCTGCAAACAGAGGCCAGCTTACTAACATCACTTGTTCATTGTTCCAGCTGCTTCCTGAACTAAATGGCACCTCACTCACAAAAGCACCATTATCCAAGCACCCACCAAATCATAAGAGATGCACACAATCTCTACAGTCGAACGCTCCTTCTGAAACTCAATTTAAATATTCATGAAAACTATGATCAGCTCAAATCTCTGCTAGTGTGAATTACTTACTTACCTGGGGCTGTGAAATCAGAGGGGTGGAAGTAGAGGCAGCAGCCATGACAGCTCTGCAGCGGTAGGTGGTGATCAGGCCCCAGTACTACAATGCCAAAGACAGAAGCCAATTCTTGTGGTCACTGATCAGATCAGGGTCATGCTAGGAGACACTGTGAACCTAGAAAGAGACAGGAAAAGTCACAATTAGTGCAAGAGGACTGGTGCAAGGAGTGAAGTACCATTGGCTACAGGAAGTAAAAATCTATACACCAAGTGCCAAATACTACAGCAAGAAACACAGGAATCCAATAGGAAAACTCCAATATCTAAAAGCCATGACTTCTGTATCATTTGTCCTAGTGATATTAAGTGGATGTATTTTCAAAAGTTTAAATTTAACTTTTCATAACAACTAGAAGTTCTGGGGAGGTAGTTCCAAGCTAGAGAGATGATGAGGAGGAGAAGCCATCCAGTCATTAAACAACAAACTAGAAAGAAAAAAAAATGATCCCCATTTGAGAGCTGATAGTTTATATACAAAGGGTAAAGAGAAAAAAACATCAAGTGGTTAGACTATACCCATTTACAGATGAAAAAATAATTGAAGCTCAGAGAAGAGAAGGGACCAAATAATTGAACATTTTATTTAGTTCACAGAAGAGCCAGAACTAGAGCAAAAACAACCCCAATTCCCAGTCTGGCATGAAAAGTAAGAAAGTCAATGTGGTCCCTGTTTATGTTTCCTCAAACAACTTGGTCACCATGTCCAAGATTTAAGACAGGCAAGACACCCAGTGTCAAGGAATAGAGCACACACTTCCATATGTGTGAGGAAGAAGAATTCCTACAGTCCTGACATACTCCAGGAGAAGATGCACAATAAGCACAAAATACAACAAAATTTTCTCTCCTTAATATGTTCACTAAGAAAACTTAGAAAGATGCTAAGTTCCCAGCAGGAGAGCATGGCCCCAGTTCTATTAAAACACTGAGATGATAGTTTCAATGTTGCAATTAGTTCAGAAGGGGAATTTTTTTCATCTTAAGAAATTAAGAAAATTCTTTCACTTTTTAAAAAAAWTCATTTTTAGATGGTTTTCATCCCATCTAGTAATCTCCTATCTCCTTTTTTTTTAGCACTCCAAGATATTTATGGAACATCTGCAGGAAACTAGGGACATAATGAAAAAGACCTAGTCAGCTCCTGCTGTAAACATATAGTTCCACTAACATGCAGGGTGATGCCTGAAATACTTCTAAACTCTAAGAGAATGATACTTTTCAAAATAGTAAAAGTAAACTGGAGTTCATATGACCCAAGTCTTCTGTAGAAGGAATAGTGAAGTTGGACAGTTAATATGAGTCCTCTGACCCCAAATCCTCTGGTGCTACTCTAGATTAGCTCAATGATACCAGACAAGTCACAAGCTCAGAAGAGCTGCTTTTGTTAAAAATGACCTAGATTTCACAGCAACTTCTATGAACTCTTAAATTTTATTTTATTCTGTCTTCATGTATTAATCCTTCAAGTTATAGGTTCAATCACTTTAAGCTTTAATTGTTTTGAACTGTGGAAACTTCCTATGCTCTTCTGTTAAAGTGATAATTTTTATTAAAAAGTAAATTATAAATCTCTCAAGCTATTTTAGCAGGACAATCAACACTGAATTCTATAGCTGCTCTGAGACAATACTGACATCCTTAGTCCTCCTTTTTAGAGGGAATAAAAGACCTGTTGTGTATCAGACTGTGAATTTAAATGAACAGCCCAGGAAACAGGGTATGTATACAGAAATGCCTTTCTTTATTCATGAGGCTTCCAGAGTGATAAGCCTACCCCAAGGGAATTACAAGACCCCATCATGCACTGCTTTACACTGAACATATTCTTAGAGTCAATTTGTGCTAATCCCTTTTTTGTTTCTCTTTTCTCCTCCTTAGGTATTTACACTTCACATTGCCTTGCTTTATGCTGAGATGGACATATGAATACATAAATATATCATGATAGCCAAAAAAAAGCAAGCAATATTCCACCCTTAAACAATCATACTATATTCTTGGTTCCAATTCATTTCAGTCAATCTCGGTCAATCAATATAACCTGAAGATATTTAGATACTTTCAATATTCACAGTGTAGAGAACTATTCAAAGGGCAAAACAGAGACCTGGCCTATAACAAGGAAAGAATATGGCCCACTAAACCAATATGTTCTATGGCATCACTGCTGATAGTCAACAAGAGAAAGACTGGGGTTCAGTGAGAGCCCATGGGACACTGAATTCTGGAGCAGTCATAGCACGTAGAGTCCAAGGCAGACACTGTTAGCTCACTTCAGAGGACACATTGAGGCTTTGAAGTGTTGTGCGACATACTTACAACCACACAAGCAGGAATGAAGAGAGCTGAGACCTAAGCCAGGATTGACTCTAAGTCCCAGCCCCTTTCAAATACACCAACCCTCCAAGTGAATGAGAATTAAGAGGAGATAAAAAAATGCACAGAATATCTTAAAGGAAAAACTTCAGAGAGTCCTGCAGAAGGCAAGATGGAAGTTAGGTAGCCTGTGGAGTGACCCTGTGACACAGAACCCTGGGCTTCTCTCCACTATATAAAACTCTGTGCCCCTTATTTCATGTTTCATATACTTGAGATGCCTAATCAGATTTTCAATTCATATTTTTAGAAAGAAAATAAGATGTAAAATTAACTTCTTTCCCATAAAGTATTTGAGATCTGTCTAGTTTCAAGACTTTTGTTGAACTCGTTAGCACATTACAAGCACTCTTTATAAAACAGTGCATGATTACTTGACTCTGCCAAAAAGTAAGGGCGAAACAACATTAAAGATATAAACCAGTGTTCTCTTGGGAATAATGTCCTAAAATTATCACGTATCTATTTGCCAACTTATTCATAAAACTGCCCAAATCATGGAAAAACGAGGTATGTCCTAAGTAAAAATGCCCCTATCTAGCAGGGGAAGTTGGTTCACTTTGACATACTAGACCCTCCCACCTGACCAAAATCCCATGGTCAACTATGGAGTTGACCAAGAACTTTTAAAGAAAAATACCCTTCTTTTAACTCTTCCAAGTACTTGAATACCAGTCCCATCTTTCTTCCAACCTACCATCAACCTGACTACATTTCCTTTGCATGAGCTCCTAAGCTGTGTTCTAGCTACTGAAAACCACAAAGTAGTGTGGGTTTTCCCCACTGACATCAGTTTCTTCAGCTGCCCTTGGGTCATGACTTTTGTTCCTTCTTTCCTTCCCTAGTTGTCTCCATTTTCCATTAGGCATTTTTCTGATCTATATAACTCTTCTCAAAACTATAAACTACCTCTCTAATATCACTTACTTTGAAAAGATGAGTTTTGTCATCTCTTCACTGGATTATCCATCCTTACAGTCATTGATTATGTAATATGCAATATGAATTACCCCTACAATTTAAATCATATGCATAAAATACAAACATAAAAATTCATAGAAACAGAAAGTAGAGATAGAGGTACAAGGGCTGGGAGGAGGGAAGAATGGAGCATTAGTGTTTCATAGAGAGCTTCAATTTAGGATGATGGAAATGTTCTAAAGATGGAAAGTAGTGAGGGCTGGGGTTGTAGCTCAGTGGTAGAGTGCTTGCCTAGCACATGTGAGGCACTGAGTTCGATTCTCAACACTGCATATAAATAAACAAACAAATAAAGGTCCATCAACAACTAACTAAATAAATATATGGAAAAAATCTTTACCTTTAAAAAAGTGGAAAGTAGTGATGTTTATATAACAATGTGAATGTAATTAATTGCTACTGAATTGTACACTTAAAAATGTTCAAAAGAGGTAAGTTTTATGTTACATTTATTTTACCATTAAAATTTTAAAAAAGGGAGGGGTTAAGAACATAAGCACTAAGGAATGATGTGAAACTATTTCTTATATAAAGAAGCATAGTATAGTATTATATCTAGACTATCATTTAAAAATGAAAAATATATGCAAATGAAATGAAATAGCAAGGATAATGCAAATGACAAGTATAATTTTAGAAAAAATATAATTTCTAAATAAGAAAACTATGCAAATAATCATTCCTCTGTGACAGGTTACCAGAGAAATGATCACCTGGATGTAAGAATAGGAAATATCTGAATCAGTCACAAAAACTACCCCTGGATTGATCCTAATTATTGCTTAAATCTCCAAAATTATGTACTGGAAAGGAACACTGGGGGAGGTCTACAAAAGAACAAGGCACCATTCCCCCTTCATGTGAAACTGGAACTGCATATACAGAGAATAAGCAAATGAAAACTCCACAGACCTGGAAGGATGCCCTCAATACAGAGGGACGAGGCCTAAAGGGGACTAAGCCAGGAGAAAGCTGGAGAACATGTAAAATGCACTACCTCTTTAAAAAGTGCTCCTGGCTCCAGAAGCCAGCCAAGTGAGTACTCTCTGGCTGCATTCACTTCTGATTTACATAGGGCCATGAAGACTGCCCCAGAACACGTGAGAAAAAAGGAATGCTACTAGCTGGCTTCTGAGGACAGCAGCCATGCCAAGTGACAATGCCCTTGCTAATTACTGAGTGCCACACCAAATACCTAAGAGAAAGTCTCTGGTTTGAGGCAAACTTCCATTTGATTACTTATGGAGCCAATGCTGGCTTCCTCCCAGGCCTCACAAGAAGATGAATTTCTAGTTGGTAAATTAAACTACTACAAACCTTAACCTTTTTCCTTCTTCTGGATTTCAGTCAAGCAATGACTCATAGAAGTGTTTGAAAAAAACAGAGTGCAATACCTGAGACTGAATATGCATAACATTTGGTCTCCAAGGATAAGCAACAGAGAAAAACACAAATTTACCAGGCCAATAAGACATATAATTATAGGTCAAAATAACAGAAGACTCTAGAATCACAGCAAATATTTACTTGAGAAATAAGTGTACTACTTATTTCTCAAGTAAATATACTTAAAAGGGAAAACTTCAGAAAATTTCTAGCTCATGGTCTTAAAGTTGCTGAGGACATAGTAGCATCTTCCATGGTACAGGTGGTTGTGGAAAGAGATGCAAGATCAAAAAAGAGTATGCATTAACCAAAAAGAGGAAAAGAAAAGAAATCTGACTTATGGGCTTGAATGAAGGCAATCGATAAAGCAGA